TAGCTAACCCACATGTTACCAGGACAAACTGACGTGCCCCATACTGTCTAAGTGCTAACAACGGAGCATACCCAACTGCACCCCAAAGTCCAAGTAAGGTCATAGTATCAGAATCCCCACAACGGAAAAGAACGTCACCGAGGAACAACCAAGGGGCTCTCCAGGTAATATCCCGATCCTGAAGATGTGTAAAAACTTTCATCCACTTTTCCTTTGAAGCACCTTCATGCCATTTCCTAATGATGAATTCTCCCAAAGGTGAATAGGTAGTGCTGAATCGGCGATAAGCTATCCCATTAGTCTTCCAAAAGTGACTGTGAATCCAGACTTGAAGGAGCTGAATACACCCAACGAACCTTCCTCTGCCAGTTCTTCTGTAATGGTTGAGAGATCGAAAGGTTTCGGCTAAGATGGTCGGTGTTGGGTTGACTCGCCTTGGAAGTTGTTCGAATAGCTCTACCACGGCTGCGTCGATGTAGCCCAAAGTCTTCGGAAAGATAACCAGACCGTACAGACCTAGTGCAAAAAGGTCTATAGTCTTTAATTCATCAGGGTGGTTCTTCATTAGTTTCCTTATGTGAATCCACTTGATTCCTTCCCCGTTACCTTTGTGTCAAAGTCAATCAGTCACCCATTTTTCATCAACCCCTACAATCTTAGCTAGTCCGTTCTTGAAAGGCTGACTCTTGATGTGTTTGATATATGCCCTCTCTAGTCTGATGTTTTCACAATGCAGTAGGGTAGTATACTCTTCAATTGTGGGCACCATGTCCTCCCGGTTAAAGGTGAAACAACTATATCATGGGTTCCAGAATTGAATTAATGCTCGGAGCAGGGGCTCATCAGTCTTGACATGGAGTAAGAGGGCAATATCACTATATCGTTTGCAGAACTTCTACTTTATGTCATTCCTCCAACTGTCCCAACTATTTCACAGTTCTTGGACATCGTTTTGTTTCAGGCTGACAGATGCATAACTAATAAGCTCTGACACATAATTTCCCTGAAGACTATCTCCCTTCTCTTTCTGAGTCTTCTCGGACCAAAGTCGTGCCTCAGCGTTTTTAATCTCTTGTATTACAACACCTTTGACCATTAATTCAGATTTATTTTGTGTTTAACAAACTCTTTTTAAGGATCAATAGCCTGTTGTTATGATGCAAATGCTAGAAAACAAACACAAAGGCAAAAGGATTAGTAAAATAAAAATAAAAAAAATAAAAAAACGACGAAAGAAAGAAAACACAAAAAAGAAAATGGTTAGGGTAAAAATATCCTAGGTTTTGGAATGTGGTTTCGGGGTAGGCTCTAATTCTCCATGGTTTCCCGGTTTAGGTTCTAAAAATGGTACCCAAGTTCTCATTGTCGGTGCCCCCTTGGGCTTGTCAGACCCTTAGTCCTAAACCCATCATAGACTTGTGTGGACTAAGTTAAACTCGAGAGGACACATTTTCTTATGCCCGCACGGTGAATAAATTCACACGAAGACATAAGGTATATGAATCCCGAAGGTTACTTGCTAGGCCCGCACGGTGAATAAATTCACACGAAGGCGTCGTTTTCACACCCCCACTTAAGATAGGGTTTGGAGCTCGGGTATAGAGCCTTAAATGAAAAAGATTTGAAGGCTGAAATCACGAGAAAGCGATAAGTACAACTATTTACCCGAAAATATAATCAAAAGTAAGTAAAAAAGGATCGAAATATTACCTTAAAATTTAAACTTACCCTTTTCGTTAAAAAGACAACTGGAAATTACCTTAGCCTGACTCACTTACCTGATCCCCAGCAGAGTCGCCAAGTTGTCGTAACCGTCTTTCGGTTGGGCCCCAAAATTGGGTTTCGACTTAAGAAAAATGATTTAGAGTCGCCACCGATTATTTATTTAAAAATAAGTAGGTCAACCAGATACCTTATCTCTTACCTGATCTGCGTCTTACCAGTGATATGTCGGATTCGGGAGTCGGTTACAGTCAAGGAAGGGTTAACACCCTTGAACTACCCTTTCGGTACTACGCAATTTCCAGTTGTCTTAAATTAAGAAAATTTTAATTTTAAATTAAAAGGTAAAATATCGATCCAAAATTGCTTACCCTTGATAGTTTTAAAAGTGTACCCTTTAGGAAGTCAAGAAACATGTTAGATAAAAATGTAATAAAAATGTAGTAAAAATGAATAAAATAAAGAAGGTGAAATAAAAATAAATGCAATAAAGTAGAGAAAATAAAACAGATAAAGAAGATGTAAGCAAGAAAAATAAAATAAAATAAAGAGGCACAAAAACAAATATAAAATATATATATATAAATAAAATACATAAAATAAAGAAGATAATAACAATAACAATACAAAAATAAAAATAGAAGATAAAAAAATAAAAGATAAAATGAAATATATAAAATAATAAATATATATAACATATAATTATAGTAATAAAAATATATAAAAATAATAATGATATATGAAAAAGAATTAAAAGTATATATATAACGATAGAATATAGAAAATTAAAAAAATATAAAAAATAGCCAAATAAAGATAATTAATATATATATATATATATATATAATAAGAATAATAAAAAATATGCATGTAACAACAAAGGACTATTATAAAAGAAAAGTTAAAATTGGGGCCAAATTTGAAAGACAATTAACGTTGATATTGCGCATTAAGGGGGGAAATGAATGTTTTAACTTTAAACTTTTCTTCTCTATTTTTCGAAAATCCAAGTAATTTTCTAAGATCAGGCCTCGGGATTATTAGATCTACAAGATAGATTTTTAAAAAACATTACCGTTCATCATCCAAAAATGCTTTTATTTGGGTTTGACTCGAGCAAAAATAATGGAGAAACACACATGCAAAGACTTAAAGCGATAAAGGTACAAGCTTTTACCTTTTCTACTTATTTTCCTCTTCAAGAATCACGTTTTTTGCTCCGATTTGCTAGTAATTTTTGCTGTTTATTTCGTATCTCGTGTCTTACAAATGGGGAGGATTACATGTATTTATAGTGGAAAAAAACTAACTAACAATAGAATCCTAATGCAACTAGACTCCTTGCTCGGTTGTTGCACGTTTATTGGTGTGGTTGTTGCTTTAAAAGATATGGTGGTCGAATAGTCCTCTTAGGAGAGGAACTCTTGCTAGCTCTATCTTTTAAGAAAATTGGTGTCTACAATAAGTCATATTTTACAACTCGGAGTTGACTTAAAAAAATTTCGAGTCGAGTCAAATTTTTTAGAACTATTTAAATTTAATTGTAAATATTTAATATTATGATATCATTTGATTCTTATTTAAATGATATTTTATAATCATATATAATACATATATATATTTTCGTATTTTTTTCATATGTGATTTACATATAGCATATAAAGTTGAGGGATTTTACTCAAACTTCGACTCAAACTTGAAAATCAATCTACTAATTACTAAAAATTTCGAGTTATTTGAGTTGTATTTTACAACTCGATTTGAACTTAAAACTTTTTCGATCGAATTTATAAAATTATAACTCGAAGTCAATTTGAGTCGAGTTTTTTCAAATTGGGTAGAGTCGAAAATGCTGAATTTTCAAGTCAATTCGAGTTTTGCTCAGCCTATTGAATTAGCACTTTTTTTACTTACGTATTATAATTAAGTATTATGTTAATAAATAATTTTAAAAATATCATTTTAATAAATAATCCTAAATATAATAATATATGGGCTTAATCCAGAAGAGTTTGATTGGATTTTGTGTGACGAAGAAATCCAAATCTAATTATGAGGCCCAAACTCCAAAAGAAAGTGTTGTGTTTTCTCGGATAAAATAAACAAATGCTGATATAATTTTGGGTAAACTACAAGATTAATACTCCAACTATCAATTTTGTTTTATTTTAGTCACACAACTATTATTGTTTTTCAAAATCATGTCTAACGTTATATTTTAGTCATCCACCATTAAAAAATTAACAGTGATGCTGAATTGTCTTTTTATAATTTTTATAATGATGATTTGGCTTAACTTATGGCTAGGGGTGACAATTTAATCAGAAACCGACGGATTCTAAACCAATCCAACCTGATAAGGTTAATTTTTCTTAAAAACTTTATAGTTCGGGTCTGGTCGTGTCAGATTATATATAGGGGTGAGGTCGGGTATGGTTCTAGTGGAGGGTGAAAACTTTTCGACCCGACTTGACCCGGGAGTAATAGTGTAATTTTCCTATATAAATATATAGATAATTGCTATAATATTCCTCTCTATTGTTTTTTTTAATTGGGTCCTTATTTTATATCATATTGGGTCAGGGTCGGACTTATACTCTAGAAAATCAGGTTGGGGCATGTTAGGATTGAGGAAATTTGTTCTTCGGGTTGGGGTTGAGTGGAGGATATATATATATTTGGGTCGGTCTGGTTGAGCAAAAACTCGACCAAACCCGACCCATTTTCATCCCTACTTATGGCGAGACGTCTGGATTACTTGTGGGTAATCAAAATAAAACCAAAAGGTAACGCTAATTATGATTTTGAAATAAAAAAATTGTTAAATGTCTAAAATGAAATAAAAGTAATAATTGAGATACTAAATGTGTAGTTTACCCTTTATTTTTACCGAGGGATATTCTTCCCTACGTCCACCCACGTGGCGAAAGACAAATTATTATATTATATGATGAATTGGACATACTCGCACAGTAAATTAAAATAAATATTATATATATATTTATCCTTCCGATTTTTAAGGTTTTATTTTGATTAATTCAGATTGATTCGGTCGCACATCTAATTATGGTAGATGAGTCTCTCAGTGAAATTTATTTACATACTCAAAAACTCGAATTCAAATTCTAGACATGCTTAAACGAAATTAAGTTGTTTATATGTTAATAAATAAATATTATATTATTGATTATGACTTTAGAGCCAGAAGGTTTTAAAACATTGGAACCAGAAATTTAATTAATAATTAGGTAGGAAATTGCATGAAAACAGAAGCAAAGTAGATGGGATGATAAAAGTGATGAACAAACATCTCAATTCAACATCTCAAATCTGGCAATGAAAAGAAAAGCCGACACCCAACTTTGCTCTTTTTCTTATAAAAAAAAATCAAAGGATTGGGTATCTTTGTTTTACGCATAATTTGAATTGATCATGGAGAAGAAGAAGATGGAGGTGGATGCTGCTTTGGAAGGGTTTTCGCCGATCTCTACAACTAGGATTTCCTGGAATTCCAGGAAACGATCCGGTATTCCTTTCCACTTCTCTCTTTTTTTGTTTTTCATGATTTCACTGAAATACCCAAATTCTTCATAATCCATTCACCTTTTCTTGAAAATTTTACTGTGAATTCCTGGTTTCAGGGAACCCCAATTAATGGTATTGGTGACCTCTGAAATTTATGGTGTTTTTGTTCATGAGTAGTGGTTACTTTAATTTACCTGGTTTTCTTGAATAGGTTGTTTTGCTTGCCTTTGCTGCATCATCTTCATCATTTTAATTAGGGTTAACTGTACGTGTAGTATCCTATCTATCATTTTGTTTCATTTTGATCATTCAATTACTTTTTTTAAATAATACACGTTACGTTTTTGTTTTATTTCAATCGCATACCGTAAAAAAATTGACAGAATTATTAACGTTACGTTTTTTTATTTTTTTGAATAATGACATAGAATTATCTTATGGTGACACTTCAATTTCATAATTCATTTTTTAATAATAGAATATTAAAAAAATCAAAATTAAATGTTAGGTATAATTTAAAATAATAATTAGATGACTAAAACGAAATAAAAGTGATAATTGGAGTACTGAACATGTAATCTACTCTTTTATTTACTCTTTTAATATTGGAGTTGGTTTATTTATGACTAAAAATATTAAGAAAAATAAATGGGAGCAACTACCACTCGTAATTTGCATAAAACAACATTGAATTTTTTTTATTAATCTAGGGTAAATATAAAGATGTTCGAACTTAAAATATTAATGAATAATAATAATTCTTTTATCACGTTATTGAAATTCGTGCGTTGAATCTTCTTCTTTAAGTATGAAAAGGAAACTTTGTATTTCATTTGTTTTTTCTTTAATTGATAGTCACGTGACAATCAAGCAAGTTCAGGTTAAGCTGTTAGCTTCTTCAAACAAACAAAAAACATTAACTTTCAAAGTTTAATTTCATATAAATTAATGTAGGCCAAAAATGGACGTTTGACAAAAGCAGTAATAAATAATTAGAAATTAATTTGAAAATAAGTTTGATCCATTAAGTTTTAGTTTGGTTGAATTTTGCTGGTGGTTTTTAATTTAATTTTGTTATTCAATTCTTATTTCGAACGGTTTTATGATAGAAAGTAATAATAAAACTTATTTATAAAAACAATTTTATTGAAGTCCCACAAAACTCTTCTGTTGACTAGGATATAGTATGAGAAATTAATAATATTTTTTTCAAAAATAAAATTTGACATAGTGTGCATATGGTTAGTGGTGGTTATGGATTGGATTGAATTTTTAATCTACCTTAATTCGATTCGAGTATTATATCTTTCTATATGTGTCTAATTTAGGTTCAAAGAGGTTTCACTTCACTCGATTTTAGGGTAAAAAATTGCATATGATCCTATCGACAAACATATATAATTAATTTTAGGATAAACTACATGTTTAATACTTAAACTATTACTTTTGTCCCGTTTTGGTATATAAACTTTCATTTTTTTAAAAATTGTATCTAACATTTTTTTGTACCCGCGGTTAAAAATTTAACAGAAATTGTTGTATGTGACACATTTTAAGTGTAAATTACATCATTCATCACTCAACTATCTTCTCACTCTTATTTTGATCACTGGAATTTATTTTTTAATTTAATTACTTAACTTGCATATTACTCCTAATTTAATCACTCTAACTTTCAAATTTATTTTTTCTTTTAATTGTATATTAATAAAATAATAATAAAAATGTCATGTTACAAAAATTATTAATAAATTAAATTAGAGTGATTAGAGTAATTTGAAAGTTGTGTAGTTAAATTGATTTTTTTAAAATTTTAGTTAAGGGTAAGCAAAATTCGATTCGGCTCGAAAAAAAATTCAGCTTGACTCAACTCAACTTCGAGTTGTAATTTCATAATCTCAACTAGACTCAAAAAAATTCAAATTCAAATCGAGTTATAAAATACAACTCGAATAACTAGAATATTAACTCGAAATTTTTAGTAATTAGTGGATTAATTTTGAAGTTTGAGTCGAGTCACTTCACGTTGTATGATATATGTGTATCACATATGAAAGAATATGAAGAAATATATATGTATTGTATATGGTTATAAAAAATCATTTAAATTATAATATAAAAATCATAGTATTATAAATATTTACAAATTTTTTTTATTAATATGGGGTAAGTATAAGGTAGTATCTGCTCAAAGATAACTCTTAATCATTTGAGATTGAAAGCTCATACATCTGACATTCATGGTGCTTGAACTCGGGATTTTAAGGAATAACTACTCGTTTACTTACTGAAGTCCTTGATTCATGCTATAAATATTTACAATTAAATTTAAACAGAAATTCAAAAACTCGAGTCAACTCGAATTTTATAAACTCAATTCTACTCGAAAAAGTTTCAAGTCAAGTTCAAGTTATAAAATAATACTCGTCAACTCGAATAACTCAAAAAATTTTGTCTTGACTCGACTCAATAAAAAGCTTAGCCCTAACTCTAGTGACCAAAATATGAGTGAGAAGATAGTTAAGTGATGCATGATGTAATTTACCCATAAAAATGGTATGTATAGAAGTTCCATTAAGTTTTTAACTGCAGAGTACCAAAATGAAACCTAAACTAAAATTAAGTATGGTTTTGAAAAAAAAATTAGGTACCAAAATAAAATAAAAATAATAATTTAGAGATTAAATGTGTAGTTTATCTTTATTTTTATTAAATAAAATATGTATTTAATTAAAAAATACATGAAAATATTATTATAATTATCATTAAAAATATATAAAAAAATAATTATAATATTATCTCGAATCGAGTAAAATACTTTCACTCTAAATCAAACTCAATCTCATCTTAAAAAGCCCGATTCAAACTCCAGTTAAAAATATTCAACTAATAAAATCATATTGAAACTTATTTAATTTGAATCAAATACCTATCTCTGAAAAAGGCTGATATATTTTTAATTCATATAAAAGCCTATTTTGTTGATAATGGGTGATGGGTGCCGAGTGCGGCAACTTAATATAAGGTTAAAATAAAATGTTATTGGTTTTGTTATTGTTTAAATAATAAAATCGATAAAAAATTACCTAAAATATTATTATTTTTACCTAAAACATTTTTTTAACATTTTCAATCATTTTTAGCGCCTAATAATGTTTTTCGATCATTTTTAACGCCTAATAACATTTTCGGTTATTTTTTACCGATTCTGTAATTTAAACAATAACAAAATCAGTAACGTATTTTTTTAACCGTATATTAAACCCGCCGAACGTGAGCATTTCCCGGGTGCCGAAAGACATTTCACATCATAGATTTCAAGCACATGTCCCACTTATTAAATAGTTAAAGAAATCGTTGATGTTCCTAGAGGTCATGAGTTCTAGCATCAACGACTGCAAGGGTGATTGAACGTCCATTGTTAAATGATTGAAAATATTTAGAACATGTACTACTTTATAAACACTTTTAGCTTAATAAAAAAACAATTATATTTTTATTATCTGTCTATTGCCATTAAACCTACGTATCTCTTAATTAAGGCACAATTCTAAGAAGAGGATTTAATATACTACAGTAAATTAATTTTCAAATTAGCTAGGTTTTTATTTTCAACAATCAAGTTTATATGATTTATATTATTCGGGTTCAGATGTGAATTAAATACGAGTATGTTTATATAATTGAGAGGTTGGCGGGCTGGATCCTCTTTAAAAAATTAAAAAATTTTAAATTCTCATATAATTTAAATTTTTTCTTCATAATTTATTTTTACCCTCTAGAATTTTGTAAATTCGTTCCTTTAATATAAAATTTTACGTTTTTCATCATCGAGATGGTTCAATGAGTTCAATTTTAGTTTAGAAATGCATGCAAAATCAGTTAGAAGTAGTATGTTTTAACTTCTCTCCGACAGCTAGCGGGAGGAATTTAGACAAGGCAAGACAAGAAGGGACTGCTAATGTGACACCCACCAAACAGGATGAACCAACTCTTGATCAAGACAATACACCGGATTCCACTACAACTTCTGAACATTCGGAGCGCCGGAAGGCTCTGTTTGATCCACTAGAGCCTATAAAAAACATCAACGGTCGGCGACCATCGACTGAATCTTTGCTTCCCCCACCCAGCTTTGATGCTGCATGCTATCCAAAGGGCTCGCTGATCGGAAAGAAGAGGAAGCTGGTAAATGTTGATGTTGTGGAGAGCATGCGAAGGATTGCAGTCCAGGAAATGAACAGAAAGGTAAGGATGATTTATGGCTTAAACTATTTGGCTCATTTCTCATATTCGTGTCTGAATATGTTTTGAATTTGAGTACTTTAAAAACGAAGAGTCGGTATGCCACCTTGATTTTATGGAGTCTGCAATTTGTATAGTAGGAAAGGTCCATAGGACTAATACTAGAGACAATGGGAGGTAAGTCGAAATGGTTGAAAAATGTCTGAATATGTGCAGGGCCGATTCTGACTTTTTCTTGGCTCGGGATAAAATTAAAAAAAATGGGTCTTAATTTAAAAGAATATTAAAAAAATATGCAATATAAAATTTTAATTAAATTTTAATTAAATTAAATAAATATTAATTCATTAAAATATCAAAAATGTCAAAAACATATTTAAGCATATAAATACTTATAAAAAAACATTGTCTTCGAGCATTTCTTGATGCAAAATCATTGATGATAGTGTCAACATCAATGCTTTCCAACATATTTTTTCAATATATAACATAGCTAGCCTATTTAATCTTTCTTGTGACATTGTTGACCTCAAGTAACTCTTCAATAATTTCAGCTTACATTCAATGATTTCCAACATATTTTTCTCAATATATAACATAGCTAGCCCATTTAATCTTTCTTGTGACATTGTTGACCTCAAGTAACTCTTCAATAATTTCAGCTTTGAAAAACTTCTTTATGCGGATGCTGCCGTTACCGGCATTGTTAATCAGATTCGATAAGCAATTGAAACATTAGGATAACAATCTCTAGCTTTAACAAACCCAATAACTTCAAGCGTTAACATGAATACATTTGGCAAAGTCAATTGCAACACTTTCATTTCAGAAAAAAAAATCATATGCATCAACATCCGACAAATTATTATGAGAAAAAATAATCTTAAAATTATTACAACATTCTTTTAATTTATTGTCATCCAATGACTTCAATCTTGTAGAATCAATTAAAAATCCAAAATAATTTTCAAAAATCTTTAACTGCTCAAATCTATCTTTCAAAGAAGCGACCGCCATATCAACAACAATAAAAAAATAATTAACTTTAAAAGACTCATCTGCTGATTGCATTTCTTTATCATGGTCATTCTCATCAAATTGTCTTTTTCTAAAAATACGACACTTAGTCGGAAAAATTAGCTCTATGTTCATATTTAATGCAAGACTTTTAACAATATCTATACTAGCTTCGAACCCCTTATTTCTATAGTTTTCAAAATATGACATTACACCTTCCAACTCCTTTATGGTAGTATTAATGCACATTGATTTAGATTGTAATTTCTTACTTACAGTGTTGATAGCAAATAAAATATCATACCAGATAACCATTCCAAGTAAGAATTCAAAACTTTGAAGGGCACTAGCTAAACTTTCTACTTCACTTTTTGTTTTTGCATCATTACCACAATATTCATATAATTGTAACAAAGCTAACCTTTAGGAGCATGACATTTAATAGCTTTGACACTTTTAATTTGACTTTCCCATCGAGTATCAGATAAAGATTTCACAATTTCCGGAACATTATCTCATAAAATTTTCACTTTTTGGTACGTTTTACAATCCCAAAAAAAAGAAATAGCTTTAACACAAGATTGTGCCATATCAGAAAGAGAGAGATTAAGATTATGACAAGTGCATGGCATATATAAAGCTCTAGGATTTATTTCAAGCAATCTCTTTTGAACACCTTGGTGTTTTCCTTTCATATTAGAACCATTGTCAGATCCTTGGCCCCTCACATCATCAACGTTCAACTCTAGAGATTGCAATGTATTTACTAATTCATTGAAAAGCCCCAATCCAGATGTATCATCCATTTTCAATAACTCTAAAAAGTACTCTTCTATTTTTACTTTGTTGTTTGACATATTTACGCATCGCACTATTAGTGTCATTTGTTCTTGATGACTTACATCAGGGATACAGTCAAGAATAATAGAGAAATACTTTGCCTTCTGGATGATCTTTAGAATAGAAGTTCTAATACTATGGGCCAAGAGAGAGATTAGTTGATTTTGAATGTTATGACCAAGATAATGATAATGAATATTTTCATTTTGAATACGTCTCATATGGTCTTGCATAGGCAAATCAAATTCAGCAATCATTTCAATTAATCCTAAAAAGTTTCCATTATTCTCATCGTAGATTTTCTCACTAGATCCTTGAAAAGCTAAATTATTTTTAGCAAGACATTTTACAACACAAACTATTCTTATTAAAACTTGCCTCCAACGTTCTTTCTCTTTTGAAATTCCTTGTTGTAAATCTTTATCAAGTGTTTGATTAGTTTTTAATCTCACTTTTAATTCACTCCAAATATTCATGTTAGTCATATGCTCAATACTATTTTCATGTTGTTCGAGTCTCTCACTAAGATTCTTCTAATCATTTAATCCATCATTTGCTAAATAACTCTTATTGTTTTGCTTTGTAAACAATTTACAACAAAAACAATAAACTTTGTCCACATGTTTAGAATAGACCAACCATTTTCTATCGCTAATCTCTCCCTTACTCAACTTTCTAGAAAAATAAGCATATGAAAAATGCATAGAATTATTGGCTAAGAGAAATTTCAAATTCAATTCTCTTATAGGTCCCTTTTCAACTAAAATATCTCTAAATTTATTATCAAGATTACCCCAATTTCTAGGATCATAAATTTCCATAGCATGGACTAAGTGTTGATCAATCCCAACATCTTCAACATTAGACTCATTTTGTGCATGATTATGGACATTTAAATTAGAAATGTCACCATCTATATGATTTAGGATATCATGGTAATTTGCATCAGTAACACCTAGATTGTTACAATTTGAAGAACTATCAAGATTATTTAAATTCCCAACAATATCATTTAAATTTTTATTAGAAAGCTCTCCTACTCCACTTTTAAAGAATTTATCAAGAGCTCCCTTTTGTGATTCTATTAAATCATCTATTTGTTTTCTTTTTTTTTCTTTTTTCACTACTAGACAAATGTTTTTTAGGCAACATTATATAACAATGCAACTAATGTAGAAAAGAACAATAACACCTGTAAATGGGAAGATCCTAGATCGAAGTATTTATACGCCAAATTCGCAACACCGTAATGATTGAACTTAGAAGGAAGATGAAGTATCTGCATATTCACGTTTGACATTTTATATCCAAAATTTATGAAAAAAAGAGAATAAGTTTATCTATAATTTAGAAATATATAAAATAAAAATTAAAAAAAAAATAAAAATAATTTGGAAACACGAACTTACTTAGGATTTTAAAAATATCTTCAATGACCACAATTGATGATAAGTAATTGTGATTTTGTGTTTGTGAATTGTGAGAAATATGGGAAATTGAAAATTGAAAATTGAGAACAATAAGAAATAAGTTAATTTTACTTCAATGTTCTCCTATCATTTATAGGAAATAAAAAGTAACCGTTATAAACATTATGATTAATTTAGTTTTTTAACGTTATGATGAGAACAATAAGTCAATAAGAAATAAGTTCATGGGCCCTCTTGCATTAATTAAGAAAATAGTATATTAGTATTTATGGGCTATGTTTTTAATTTAGTTTATTAAAATATAATAAATTAATATAAATTTAAATTATGGGCCCTGGGAGGGTGCCCCTCTTGCCCCTGCCCAGAGCCGGCCCTGAATATGTGTTGAATTCAAGTACTTTAAAAACGAAGAGTTGGTATGCCACCTTGATTTGTAGAGTCTGCAACTTGTATAGTAGGAAATGTCCATAGGATTATTACTAGAGACAATGGGAGGTAAGTCGAAATGGTTGAAAAATGCAGGATAGGGAAATTGACGGGTTGAACAAGCAGTTGGAAGAAGACTCGAGTTGCGTAGAATATCTGCAACTACAACTTTTACAAGAGAAAAGTAAAAGATGGGAGGTAGAGAGGAAGGATGCGATGCTTCAAGAACATATATCGATGCTGATGAATATGTTGCAGGAAAGTCCAGATGTTGATGAAACATGAAGAAAATTTCATTTGTTTGTTGGTTTAATTCTTTTGTTGGTTTAATTCTTTTGTTTGTAGAGTTTAGCATGTATGTTGTGTTAGATATGGTTAAGTTTGTTTGGCGTGTAAGTTGAGTAGCTTTCTTACGCTTTCAAAGTTGTCTCAACTAATCTATACGTTTCTTTCGTGGAAAATAAATTTCGAAAAATCATTTTCATAAAATAAATTATATATTTTTTCAGAAAATTGTTTTTGCAGTATTTTAATGATATTATTTTTTATTGCTTAGTAAATTTTATGAAAATTATTTATTACAAATATCGAATAAATAAATAAAATTATTTAGTATAAAAAATTAATGTTATTATTTTAAAAAATATTAGAATAATTTATGTTAATAATATTATTAAAATATTATTTCTATAATTTTATAAATAAAATATTAAGACTATGATATTTTATTAAAATAAAAATATTATCAATTAAATTATTTTTTTATTAAAATAAAAATATTATATTATAATATTAAAATAATAAATAATAAATATTATTAATTATATTAATTAATTATTAAAATACATTATTATAATATTAAACTAAGAATGTTATATTATATTTTAAAAAATTATTAATAAATATATTTTAAATATTTAATAATTAAGTAATATATTTTTATAAATTAATAAATAAAATTAATTTTATTAATAATTTATTATATATTCTTAAAATAAAAATACAATATCATATATTTTTATAATATTTAAATATTATATTATTAAAATTATTTATTATTATAATAAATAATTTTCCATTTTATAATATAATATAATTTTCTATTTTTGTCCGAGCTTCAATCACAATCCGAATCAGAATTAAAAGTATCAAAAATTAATTCACATTCTAAAATCAAATAGAAAGCCCAAATACATTTAAATCCAATATGCAGTCTATTTACAAGCCCGATTACATTCCCTAACCCCAATGTCAAATACCCAAAATTATAACATCAAAACTCACAACCCAATTGCAAATATACCACAATCCAAGTTTATTTCCATAGTCGGCGATTATTGCAATTCCTTTGCGTTAGTGGCTTTTCCGACCCCTTCCTTTCCTGCCATTTCTTTCCTTTTTTTTTATTATTTTCTGTTAATTGTGGTTTGATTTTATTAATTTTTAGTAATATTTTATTATATTTATAATGTGTTCTCTTGACCTTTTATCTAATAAAGGATATCATGATTATCAGCAATTTTAAACTTCCGTTGTAGGTTTCTTCTATTGGTCTTGTTCTTTGTGTGGTTCTATGATTTTTCTTGGTTGTTTGCTTTTCAGATGTGTGGTTTTTTCATTCGTTTGTATGTGATATTCCGATAATTGTCAGATATGTGTTATATGAGACTGCAGTTAAATGATGATTAATTTTTTATTCATCTATTTTGGATATTTTTCAAGTTTTCCTTCTCTTTGTTTGGTTCTTGAGAATTTTGGAGTGCTTTTTAATTGTATGTCATTATTTCACCTGTTCAAGTTTTTGCTTATCAAGCTGTTACCGGTTGCTCACTGTTATATATAAATATATTTACGTGTTCGTTACTTCATTTGGCTAATTAATATATATTATAATTTCATTTAAAGAAAATAAACCAAGTTCTTTAATCCATTTAAAATCAGGTTTGATCCGGTTACATAGCTAGGTCATTAGTTGGTCAAGTCCGGTGAAAGATCGGCCCAACAGTCAGGTTACGGTTGGCTAACCTAATCCTTAATCCTCTCATCAGATGTCGTCGCCATAAAAATCTCCAAAAGGATCATCGTTCGACGAGGCAGTCATGCACCGACCAATTCAGCAGGTCCCCATCCAGACACTCCACACATTCACAAGCTCATCCCAGTGGGCTCTCCACTCAAGCGTTGAATGAAGCCCTGACCACCTCTGATTACGCCCATTGGTCCCCTCTCCCCTCTGCTACAGTCTACGAAATGACCTGCAGACAGCCACATACATAACTACGATCTTCACCCTTCCTTGGAAACATCTCACGAAGCCTCCTATAAACGAGCAACCACAACAACAACAAAAAAAAGCTTTTTAGAAAGCATAATACTAAGGAAAATAGGAATTTTCGAGAGAGAAAAAAAGTAAAAAAGAAGAGAAAAACAAAGAGCTTTGGAACAAAAGCAACGAAAACAAGAGGAAAAGGGCCTCTTTTCGAAGGTATTTTCTTTCCCTTAGAGTAAATTTAGGTTAGACAGGGGGTTTCACACGAGACTACCTGATTCGAAGGAGATCTGATGTTGAGAAGAGCCTTCGTGCTCTGTTCTCGAGCATTTGTTGATGAAGGACCCTAGTGAGAGGCGACGCGGTTTTTGATTATATGGAACCATAAATTTTGTCTGTTAAAAATGGCTTGGGTTCTTTTTAAGTCCTAAAAATGGCTTTTAAAATCCCTTCCAAACGTCATCGTTTAGGGTTTTTGATTGACTCGCGCTTCGTGGTTCAGGTAAAAAGGAACCACGCATCTTTTAGGGGATATTTGTTGTAAAGGGCTTCGGATGTTTTGAATCAATGCAAATTGGTCATCGATTCGAGGTTTTAAATTTCTGATATTTCCCTTTTATTTTAAATATGTTTTATTTTGGTTACTTTTTACCTGCTTGACTATATTTATTACTTTTTTTGGCACCTAATTCTACTAATTTTATTTTAGTCCTGCATGATGTTGGTATTTGAAAAATCTCATGGAAATAGAGGTCTAAATATTCGAAAATCATAGTAAATAATTTGAAAGGAAGGCATCAAACATCATCAAGTGCAAGAGGTGGTTCAACATCTTGATTAGTCGAACAACAACTATGAGGGCAACATCAGATCGTTGGAATAACCTAGCTTATGGACATGGAACAAGAGAAGCTTGTGAAATTTGACTACATGGTATAAGGAGAACTTGTGTTTTGATGAAAGTTTTTCTAATGGTGGTCACTTGAATTTGCACCTTTTACATTGCATTTCTAAATTTAATTATGAAAATATGAGGAATAATTCGTGAATGATTCTATGATAGAGATCTCGAAAGTATAAAGAAACCATATTGATCATACCTAGAAGATCGAAAGTCATGAATGTGATATTAATGTGAGTTAACAGAATTGGGAGATTTCACGAGTTATTTGTCAAAACCCAACAAGAGAACTTTTAAAATTAATAACTCATATATGCCAGTTTGATATTACATTTGAAAAGTGTTTAAAAAAAGAACTTTTAAAAGTGTTTTTGAAAAATGTTGTTTAAATTTAATTGTTTGAGATTACCGTTAAAAAGTAATTTTAAAAAGATAAAATCTTCATTTAGACATTATATTACAAATTAAAATACAATATTTGAATTATATTGTAGAGAAAATAAACTTAAAGAATTTTATAGAAAAAGAAAATAAATTACCTATAAATATGATGTTACTTATAATCATTGTAGTTCTTAAATTTATTAGGTCGTTTGTCATAATTCTACCGCTGCTTGATATTTTTTTTCATTTACAATGTATCAAATTATTCTTCATTTTAAAAAATAAAAATTAAAAGATTTATATAATATTTTAATCTTATAAAATTTAAATCATTATCACTTTGGTATTTAAAGATTTTTTTATTTAATTTTGACCTTTATTTTTTTTCATGAAGTATGTTATCCATTTCGTTCTTTAATTATAAAAAGTCACGTGATATTCTAATAATATATCACATGACACGTAATATTTGGATTAAAAATAAGAAAGAAAAGTAAAAGAAAATATTGAAAATATACTTTTCAACTTTTAAATACTTTTACAAAATAAATATATATTTTAACAAATTAATAACTTATATTTTATCAATTTTAATATAACCGTATCTTTCAAATTTACTCTTATACTGTAAGTATTTTATTTTATATTTTCATATTATGTTTTAGTATTTCTCTAAAGTATCCATAAAATACAATTATTAGGTCCACTTAACAACTTTCTTGTTAGATTTGTATAATGTTTGACTTTGTTGAATTTTTATGTTTGAATTTATAATTACAGAGACTTTTGTGTCTTCATATTATAGGCTTGAATAATCGTGTTTTATAAAAGTATAATGTGGTTATTGTTTTATTTGTTTTTCAATTTGGTGATATATGTTAATATTGTTTTTTTTTTAATTTGAGTTTAAGTAATTATATATATATATATATATATATATATATATATATTAATGATTAAAAAATTTAAAAAAAATATTATTTATAATCATTTCCGGCTATTTAAAATAAAATTTAAATATTATTTATTATTTTGACGGTGCTACATTCCTTTTCAAGTTGCTGGATCATTTTTAAAGGTGTAGCAAGCTAGAACATTATTTTTTATTGCATTTAAAGCATTTAAAATTGTTGTTATTTAACGGGCCGCGGGTAAGCCCATTTAGCCCGCGGGTTAAATGGACGGACCGCGGGCCTTAAAATTCAAAACCGTTTATGAATACGGACTTTTTAAACCGCTCCGTTTAAGCCCGCACCGTCAAAACCCGCGGGCTAAACGGGCGGGTAGCCCATATACCCAGCTCTACATGCATCACACGTCACAGGACAAAAGAAGATGGACTAACTCTTTCACCCAGTCCAATCACACGGGCCAAGTCCAAACTTCTGAAAGAAAAGCTTCAAGTTGCGGTTCAAGCCGTCATCAGCAAGGGACTTCACCCTCACATGGAGATTAAAGAATTCAATGAAGGAAATTCATTACTCATTCCTACTACATCTACTTGGATCACAACAATTCAAGTTGAAACAACTTCAAGATCAATTCATGAAATAATCGGATACAGTCCTAAAAATATCTTTAAAGTCTCTTAAAGGATCATTTTGTAAATATTACAAATTTGAAATATTTTATTGATTATTTGTAATATAATTTAGGGTAAACTACACGTTTAGTACCTAAAATATTAGTTTTGATTCGTTTTAGTGCCTAAACTTTCAATTTTTTCAAAACCATACCTATTTTGTTTTCAAAAAACTTAACGGTAAAACTTACGTGACATTTTTTAAATTATTTTCTTAATTTTTAAATTATTATTTATATTATTATTTAATTAATTTTATTCAAC